TTCATAAACATAGCAGTTTCGGAGAAACTGCTATGTTTATGAATGGGTTAAGCCTTCCCCCTAATCCTCTAGTGGCTGTCTCATTGACAGCCACTAGAGGCGCTTGCGTGCTTGTAAATGCTTTCCTATGCGACCGGCTGAATGCGCGCGCAGCTCTTGCCGCGCATGCACATTCAGCCGACGGGGCGGAACGGAGGAGTATCGGAGGAGGAGAGCTCTCCGCCCAGCGCTGGAAAAAGGTACGTTTAACCCCTTTTCCCCTTTCCAGAGCCGGGCGGGAGGGGGTCCCTGAGGGTGGGGGCTCCCTCAGGGCACTATAGTGCCAGGAAAACGAGTATGTTTTCCTGGCACTATAGTGGTCCTTTAATTTTTTAAAAAGGAAATAAAAAAAGGTTTTGCTTACCTTGTTTCCAGCGTGAGATTCACTCCATGTTAAGTCGTTCCGCAGGCTGTCTCATATTCGTCTTCTCACCCAATCCAATGCCTCTCAGAAGCATTGGGCCTGAGAAGCACATGCCTGACAAGAATCACACTCATCCAGTCAAATGCTTCTTACAGAGAAGCATTCAATCCAATGCTTTCCCATGACAATCATTTCATTATATCTGACATCCTCATGCAATGTGTTAGGATGTCGAATGTCACATCACGAGTTGGTCATATCAGTGGACCTACCACTGGTGCAGGGATAGGCAACCTTTGGCACCCCAGATGTTGTGGACTACATCCCCCATAATGCTCTTACACCCATAATGCTGCTAGAGCATCATGGGAGGTGTAGTCCAAAACATCTGGAGTGCCGAAGGTTGCCTATGCCTGTGACTAGTGACTCTCAGGAAGACAGCCACTAGAGATGTGTTGAGCCCTGCATTTAAAACATTAACATATCTATAAAACAGCAATGTTTTACAATGCAAGGTTAAAAGGATAAGGCACTTAATCGAGTGGTCTGGATACCTATAGTGTTTCTTTTATAAAGGGAGCCTTTGTAAATGTAGTTCACCATAAGAGTTATGAACAATTCTCCATTGGTTTTTGGGTGCCAGGGAGACTCTTAATTTTGTAAAATCACTTTTGTAATCAGTGTGAAAGAAAAAACACATAGAGAATGCTCCTTAGCCTCCTTGTACCAGAATCAATATGATGGGCCGTAGTTATGATGATGCTTGGGGTGTCTGATTTATAGAGTGTGTCTATGAAAATCTCCCTCAAGTTCGATTGACATATAACAGTCACCTGTGAAATGATCAGGATAACAGAAAACAAGTCATGCTTCCACCTGAAACAAATAGAGAAAAGTTTGACTTTGTGAAACATGTGACAAGTCTTAAAGACAAAACAAATGAAGCTTTTGGCAGGAAGACAGGATTCAAGAAAACACATTTTAACAAACTTTTCATTGATTTTATGTGTAAAAATCAGAAGGTGGTGAGGACACTGCTCAAATGAGTTTATATTCTAAGGGGAGTGGGGTATAATTACACAAAAGGTAAGGGTAGAAGTTATTTCATCTATGGAAAGTATGGTTGCTTATAGAGTTTATAATATAAGATCAGATAATATAGATTATAGAGTGTGGTCACTGCAGTGCCGATAAAAATAAAGAAATAACTTAGCGCAACATAAGCATAAGACCAGAAAACCAGAATCAACACAAAGCGCAACTTACTAGAAATGGCCCACTTTTGAAACCGACATTTAATGAATAACAGTCACGCTTCGTGTCAATTTTAGTTTTCTAGAGTTTATAATGGAATGATATTTTAAATGTTAAATGTTGAAGCTGAAGGAGAGCAAATAAAATGGATTATAGAGGTGTAAAGAAGGAAGGGTGTTGACAGTTTAAATCTCATGCTTTGTCAATTAGTTTATAATGGATGTTGTGACCAATTGATGGCTAGAAGTGTTTAAAGGAACACTGTAGGGTAGAAACACAAACATGTATTCCTGACCCTATAGTATTAAACCCACCATTTAGGTGGCTTGCTTTTCCCCCCCTCCCCTCCCGGACCCCTTAAAAGGAATTAAAACTCACCTTATTTCCAGCACCACGCAGGTCTGCCGGCAGTGGCCCCGCCCCTGGACCGCCTCCTTGATGACATCATCAGAATTGCCACTTTTTAGCCAATCTAATGCTTTCCCACATGGAAAATCGGCAAGGAGGCATGATGGGGAAGGGCCACATGCCATATTGGCCAATCAGCACTTCTTCATAGAGATGCATTGTATCATTTTTTTCTTAAGAAAAGCTTCTTTCTTAATTAAGTAACCTCTTAATACACATTCATACACAGCCCATACATTGGCGCGACTTACATCCGCTGTTAAATTTTCCTCAAAGAATTGTTTAGTAGTTGTTATGATTTCATCAATATCATCTTTAGATTTCAAAAAACATTAATTCATACGCCAGGTCCGTTCTCCTCTATTATATTTCCCTTTAATTTCAAGGCACACTGAGTCTTGATCTGACCATACCATATTTTTTAATTGACTGATACTGCGTTTGTTAATATCATATCAGTTCTTGAGAACGATTGGTGTCTATTTGAAAGAAAAGTGTATTCCTTATCCATTGGTCTAATAGTTCTCCATATATCATATAATTCATATCGACCCAGTGTGTCCTGAAAGGCTTTTACAAGGCTGACCTGTCTATTACTTCCCCCAATGTTGCTTAGATTATGTGTATCCATATTACAGTCTGCAATACAATTAAAGTCACCGCAACATATAAAGGTTCCTTGAACAAGCGCATTAGCTTTTTGTAGAATTGTATTCAGAAAATGCACTTGTTTCGTATTTGGAGCATATATATTTAGTATAGCATATATTCTATCTTCAATTTTGCAAACCACAAAGGAAAATCTGCCCATCTCATCACTCTGTTTATTTATCATCTCTAATTTTATACTATTTGAGGAGAGGATACCTACACCATGTTTTTTCCCCCTACTTAGGGATGAGTGTTCTATAACGGTATATTATTTACTCAAAGTATAGCATTGCCCTTCATATGAGTTTCTTGGAAACAAAAAATATCCACATGTTCCCTATATAAGTACTCATTAAACATGAAAAAAACACTGTACCTATGGTGCAAACCTGTCTACATTTTTCTTATTTAATCTATATAAGATAATTAGAGTTAGAAGTTAGCATTAGAGGTTAGAAGTTAGAATTTTAAATTAAGTTTGAATATTAACTTGTGTATCCTGAAAGTATCAAATTATTTTAAAAAAATATGCTTAAAGTTACTTGACATAATTAGATGTTATATCATTATAATACTATACTGTAATACTGTACTCTGGCTATTATTCAAAAGAGGGCTTTGGCAGGACGTAACAGACTAAAAGACATATTGTGTCTCTTATATATATTGTACTTCCTATTATATTCATTTAAAAAGCCCCTTTTCCCTTTTCTTCTTCCTCTCCCTTCTCGCCTTTTCCCTTTTCCTTTCCCTTCCCTTCTCCCCTTTTCCTTTTATTTTAAAAGAGGAACTCGTGATCATCCAATCCTTTAAATATATCATACTTCCCTCATTTTTATCGTGAAGTTCTACTCATTGATTTTGTATCACCCATCTATATTCATTGTAAACAATACATTAGTCTTTGTCTTATTAGCGCTAGAATAATATGAACTCTTAGATTATAGAGGTTATTAGCCCCTATGACTAACCCTCTCATTATGGTTTATTATGTATTCCCTATTTTATTTATCAAATTTTGAGAGGAGAGAGAGAAGAAGAAAAAAAGTCCAAAGTCCTTCCCTCTTCCTTCTTCATTTCTTCTTCTTCATCTCTAACTATTTTGCAGGATTTAGTTCCAACCATTTATGCCCATCTTCCGCTGACAGTTTACTGTGGCATTGTTCTTCATGCCATGAGATTATTTTAGTAGGGAAGCCCCAAATATATTTAAAATTCCTAGATCTGAGAGTTGCATTAAATTATTTGAATACAAATCTTTTTCCTTCTTGAATTGTTAGATAGATCTTGATAGAAAGCTCAATTCTTAAGTTTTTCTTCTTTTGATATATAATTTCTTGAGACGAAATTAGAGAATCTTCTGACGAATGTAGTATGATGAAAACCGGATAATTATGTCTCTAGGGACAGCTTCTGGAATACCCTAAGGCTTTGATGTTCTATGTGCCCGTTTAATTATATCTTCCTACACTTCTTGAACTCCCATATCTTTAAAGAGATCTAGCAGAAATTCTGTTATTTTGTGGGGTTCTAGATCTTTCATTTATGCCTCAAACCCTTAGATTCTTCCTTCGCATTCTATCCTCCATGTCAGTAGATTTATCTTCCAAGTCTTGAACTTTCTTCTTTAATGAGCGCATTCTTCATGAACATCGTTTAGTGCAAACATCATTGCAACGTTCTTTTGCTCATTTATTTTAATTATTTCACCTAGTGCAGAAATATCTTCCTTCATAGATGAAAACAATTTTATAACATGACAGGAGGCTTCGTATTTGCTTAAGTCCAGGGCCGGATTAACATAGGGGCTGATGGAGCTGCAGCTCCAGGCCCAGGCCCATGGAATAGGCCCAGGCCCATGGAATAGGCCCATTTAAAAAAAAAAAACATTATATATATATATATATTTTTTATTTTTTTTTATATATACACTACTCTTAGGGTTGCCACCCAACTGGTATTTTACCAGCACAGACAGTATTTGAGGCTTCCTGGCCGTGCCGGTATTGCAGTAATACCGGCAATACAAATGCAGATATTTTTCTCAGTATAAACGGAGATTACGCTGCAATACCAGCACCAGCCAGTAGGGGGCACTGTGTGTGGAGAGAGGCAGAGATAGAAAGTTCCAGCATATCACTCACTAATCGGCGGGGGAGCAGCTACACAGCACAGAGAGTTCAGAAAACAGCTCCCAGCCTGCAGAAACAGCCTTCAGCTCAGGGAAGTGAGGGATGAGAGGAAAGGCAGCAGGGAGACATGGGGACAGTGGGACACTGAGACACTAGGGGACACTGTGAGACATGGGGATGCTGAGACACATTGGGCGACACATTGGGACACAGTGTCTCCATGTCTCCCAGCCAGTGTCCCTAGTGCCTCAGTGTCCCCGTGGCTCCTAGTGTCTCCAATGTCTCCAAATGTCTTTGTCCACATGTCTCCCAGCCAGTGTCCCTAGTGGCTCAATGTCTCCATGTCTCTCAGTGTCCCTATGTCCCCCAGCTAGTGTCTGTGTTCCCATGTCTCCCAGGGTCCCCTAGTCTCCCAGTGTCTGTGTTGCCATGTCTCTGTGTCCCCAAATATCTCAGTGTCCCCATGTCTCCCAGTGTCTGTGTCCCTATGTCTCTGTGTCCCTAGTATAGGTAATGGAAATGCACACAATCCCTCGTCCTGGAATCCTGGGTGCAATAGCTTGACAAAGGCCCTAAGGGGTCGAAACATTGTTTTTTTGGTGATTGGGTCCAATAAAATTTCCTATATGTTGGAATACCTTGGAGTGCCTGGATTCTTTTCTACATTTAAATCTGTGTCCCTAGTGTCTGTCCCCATTTATCCCAGTGTCCCCAAATATCTGTATCCACAAGTGCCCCCATGTCTCCCAGTGTACCCAAGTGTCTCAGTGCCCTTATGTCTCCGAGTTTCCCCAGGTGTCAGTGTCCCCATGTCTCACTGTGTCCCAAAAACAACCAATCAGAAAAAAGTTAGTTACTATAAAACTCCCCTCCCCATGCATCATTCCCTCTTTCTTTGCTGCTCCGCAGTCAGTACAGGTCAGAGTACCACTGCTTCCTGCTCTTAGAGGGTGGCTTTGGGATTTAGTATGACTTATTTAGGATTTATATGTATTATTTATATATTATATTTATTATATATATTTTATGTTTCTGGTATTTAGTTCTATCTATTATAGTTTGCTTCAGATTATTTATTTATCTATTTATTAGTTATACATTATATATATGTTGTATTTAGTTTTATTTATATTATTTGATATCATTTTTTATTTCTCATATATATTTTTTGTTTATGGTATTTAGTTATCCATTATATTTCACTTCATATTATTTATTTATTAGTTATATATTGTATTTTGTTTTATATTTGTTATTTATTTCAAGATTACTACCCGTTTTTTACTCCTGCTTCCCCTGTTCTTGGGGATGTTTTCTTCATGTGGTGGTTTTAGAGGGGTTCCTGGGGATTCCTGTCAGTTTGTTCCCCACTCCCCCCCACCGCACTACCTTGCGCCATTCTATGAGTTCCCCCCGCGGGCTACGGGCGCTCCGTTCGGGGTGTCAGGAGACTATGCACTTGGCTGCTTCCTCTGACTCCCCGAGCTCTAGTGTGAGCCTGCCGGCGCCCGGGGTTTCTCGCGGTCGGACGCGAGTACCCGGCGACCGGGTCCGCTCACACACGTGGCCGCCTCGCCGTGGCCGGTTTCTTCATAGAGCTTGCTGTGAGTTTTTTATGACAGTTTATATCACAGATCCTGAGTGTGACAGATCCATCTGTATAGACTGGGATTGCTGGTTTGTCTATTTTGCCTTTTCGTGGAATTACCCGTTCGTATGCCCCTGTTCAGTGAATTGACTTTTCCGCTGAATAAAACTACCGAACGAACGGCCACCCAGAAGAGAAGTGTGCTGCTGGTTAACCTCTCGATCCCAATTAGAACATTGTGGTTAACCGCACACACTTCTCAATTAAAACCGAATACAGGGTCGTCGTCGTTCGTATGTCGACCACGAGGCGGCAGCCATTTTAAACCATGTGAAAGACCAGCGGTGTTCGGCATGGATTTCATGGAACTAAAAACGGACAGTCTCCCATTTGGTCCCCTAGGGGAGTGTCCACCAAGTGGAAGACCTGCATAAATACGGGCAGGTAGCCCACAGTAAAGCCAGTTCATGTTTTACCCTCAATGCGGAGCTTGGTCTCGTTATCGGGGGGAATTATTACAGATGACTAGAGACTGCTGGATGGGATTATTAGCCGCTTGGGAGATATATGCGTTCGGCTACTATTGGCGATTCGTGAGTTTGGAGCTCGTGAAGTGAAGTGCTCGTACGGATCCCGTTCGTGAGTTTACAGCGTTCCCCTGCTTGCGGTTCGTATGATTGTACTTGATACACATACAGCCTATGTTACTGCGAGAAGGGAGGATTTACTAAACGGCGGTTTGTGCATCTGATGCTGAGGGTACCGTAACACTGAGCGTTAATGGCAATTTATATATCACAGCTTGCTGTGAGTGTTATAGCTGTATATATCACAGATTATGTGTGCTTTAATGCAGTATATATCACAGATTTCTGGGAGTTTACTGACAGTGTATATCTCAATCTGGGAGTTACATGTATATTCGGATCTCAGTTGCACAGGCTGTGGATAGGGTGTATACAGAGCCAATTTGCTAGTTAGCTCTAGGATGGATGTGCTTCACAGTATATATTTTTTCTGGCCCAGCTATGGAGTCCCAGATAAGACTACTGTGATGAGAGTAATCTCGCCACATTGCATTGGAGAAGCCTGGTTGCTTGCCTGTTGCCTTTGGATTATGGCCCCATGTTAAAAGGCTTGATTTTCCCCTGCAAAGACAAGAAAGCCGTGTCATTTGGTGCCCTGTTTGAGCAGTGATACCCCAGATAGCTATGCCATGGAGCCCACTCATATAATGAAAGACTATGGGAATTGAACTGTATGTGTGTGCTCTGAGCGCCATTCAGTAATAATGTGCGCTCAGACCTAAGCTATCTGGGCATATGTTGCATGTCTGTATTTTATGTCATAAATGTAACCTTGTGTATTTTATTGTATTTTACTGTCTTTTTGCTGCCATGTGTTTAATGGAGTTTTGCCTCTGTCTTTGGAGATAATTGGATTACTTCACAATTATCTCCAGGATAGAAGCCTCTGTGGAACTGGTTTTGGGCAGAAAAGCCATGCTTCCTGTGGTCACAAAGGACTACGATCTATCTTTTGAACCACTGGACCAATTTGTATGATTTTGACGTATGTTGAGCTTTGTCTCGTTCTTGGGGGGATTTATTGTATGCTGTTCCAGTTTGACTTCTAGGAGTGTAAACCTATTCGGATGGTTTTTCCTATTCGGCTGCTTACGGCATTCATATGGTTTCCTGTTCGGCGGATTGGTGTTCTGCAGTAGCTGTGCCTGTATCTCTGGAAGGGGAATATCTCCTAAACGGCGGTTTAACCCTTTTATGCTGAGGTTTTTTGTGAGGATCCCCGGGCGCACCATCATGGTTTACACCAACCCGGCGGCAGAACATCTTCAAAGAGAATTTCGCACAAGCAGGTACCAGTGTTCAGACGCCTTGCCTTCAGCAACTAGCCATTTGGCTGCCTTCCCGGTATCCATCTTAGATATTGGTAGTTAGTGCTACGTCATGTTTAGCTCCTGCCCTTTCAGTTGGGTTTCCTTGACTTGCTGTTCCGATCTGCTATTTACCTTCTTTCCGAGGTACGTATTTTCCGTTATCTACATTAGTTGTCGTTTCTTGGTTGCCGAGCCTTCTAATTGTCCTATCGCTAGGGTCATCGAGAGGCCTGACTTGACCTCCTCCGACCTCCCGGGCTCTCATGGATTGCGGAGAACATCTCCAGCTCTCCTCAGACTACTGATGGTCATCCTGGACCCAGCGCGCGTGCACGGGATCCAGGCGGTCAGTTGGTAGTTTCCATCATTGTTTCCGAAGGTTGCATTTTCGCACCATCCCTTTCTGTTATTAAGGATGGACACGGCCCAAGGTTGCATACTATTCCATCTGCCATCGGTTTGGTTTATTACCAGTTGATTCCATCTCAGGAGAGGTCTCGTGGTCAGAGAGAGACCTCAGGATCTCAGTCTTATGCTGATATTAGTAAATGGTGTACCCTTGCAGTTGGTCACCCTGAGTCTCTAAGGGACTCTAGTTTGGATTACAAGAGGGTGCGGCCCTCCATCACCTCGATCCAAGAATGATATTTTATTTTCATGAACAGAGAGCTAACTCCTCTCATATACGGGACCGGACACTGATTTGGTATTAGAGGGCGCAACCCTCACTCAATTCAATTAGATCTAATGACCGTGCTACCAATTTCGTTATAGAGGGTTGCCTGTTCATGCAGTATATACATATTTAGACTGGATCCCTCTATTTCACCTCCTGTAATGGATCTGCTGGATCCGGACCACTGTGCAACACACGTGAGAAATACTCATGGAGGTATAACGGGGGGAGACTCCCGCTTATTTGCACACACTCCTGGAGACGGTATGGCTAATGGATGGGCCTCAAGTATTACAAGTGTGCAGGTTTTGGTATTTTCTGCCTTAATAAAACTGACAATTGCATTCTGTTTTAGATATCTGGACCTTTGCGAACAAACTGCGCAGACAGTTTTTCCCATATCAAGATGACATGAAATACTGAGACCTTCATGGAGCAAACGGGCACTGCCTTGCTCAGGTAACAAGACTAGGGAAGGCCCACTACCCGGTCTGCAGGTACACGGTATGCATGGGTCACATGGAGAGACCGGAAACCCCGTTGACTTGAGTTCCCTGGTCATTACAATCTTGGGATAAGATGACAGGACTGCCCCTACTCCTCTGAACACATATCTGGAGAACATGGTTCAGAGATGGAGGGCCCTCCGTCTATACGCTATATCCCTCACGGGAGCCGTCTTGGCTTGGGGGTTCTCGCTAACCCACCTTTTCAACTACCCTCAAGGAGATCTACGAGACTCTATGGGGGAACCCGGGGTGCCCCGACTCCTACACAGACAAGGTTGAAGCTAGACACTTGTTTTATCTGCTCTGGAGTCAACTGTCGTGAGCGAAGGGACTTTACGCCTTGCTTGCATATTGGAGAACGCTATGTGTTTGCGGGACTCCAAACTAAGAAGGGAGGTATTCCTCTATAGGAGGACTTTGACTTTGGTTATCGAACTCAGATTCCTGGGTCCCTTGACCTAGGGTCTACTTTGGGAGATACGTGCCCGAACAGTCAGGGGTACAGGGACCTAGGGGGTCTCACCATATTATACCCTATCTTGTAGGTGGCGTGTAGACCAGGAACCCCTACACGAATTTTGACAGGTCGGGCATGGAACAGGATTGTACTACAGGTAATCAGATTATTTCACTCTCTCACTACAGCACGTGAGAACTGTTCGTTGTTAGACAAGTCCTAATCACCATTGGATCCGTACATCTTATCACTCTTAGACGATGACATATCTGGATGGAAATCTCAACTCTGGTTTACGTTTTCCATTCTTTATTTCCGGGACTCACTATTTCCAGGATAGTCGACCACAGGAGTCTTTTCTCTACTGCAGCCGAGGATTACACAGTCCATTTGGAATATTGGAATCTCTTAGGATACGGCTAGTTTGACCACACTCTTGCCTGCATAATAAATTTATTCTCGGATGAGACATCTCACCGGGTAGGCCATGAGGGAACGGAAGATCCTACTCGG